ACCTAGGGCAGGCCCCCCTCCTATCAAAATCCAAGCTTGGACAAATTCTGCAACTTTACTTGGCAGTCTTCCTGGATGCCATAAGTACTGTACTTATAAGAAAAGAGGGCTCAACCTAGTTACTAGTTTACTATATCAGTAAGGCACTGCTAGCCCCTGAGACACGTTACCTAGATATGGAGAAGTTGGCCCTGGCATTCATAACTGCATCCCGAAAGTTGGGGCCCTACTTTCAGGCTCATACAATCCATATGTTGACAAATTTCCTTCTCAGACAGGTATTGCAAAAACCTAATGCCTCTGGTAGGTTATTAAAATGGGCAGTGGAACTGAGCGAATTTGAGATCTTCTTCAAGGCTAGATCCACCATCAAAGGCCAGGCCCAAGCAAATTTTGTGGCTGAGTTCACCAACGTCCCTGAAGTGGACGAAACTATGGAGCCCGTCGAGCCTCCCACCTGGAACCCATTCGTGGACAGTTCAGCCGGAGAAACAGGCTCAGGAGCAGGCATGATACTGGTGAGCCCCGAAAGTCATAAGCTGAACAGCGCAGTGCTGTTTGGATTTAAGGCCACAAACAATGTGGCTGAACAAGCTAAGGAGGAGGTATGGTCATTTTATATTGGTTGATGATATCCTTTACAAGCGTAGATTTTCTTCGCCTCTTCTTCGATGTATCGAAGAAGAGGGGGCCAACTACGTACTCCGTGAAATCCACGAAGGTGTCTGTGGCAACCACTCGAGAGGACTTTCTTTGGCCAAAAAAAGTATTGAGACAGGGATATTATTGGCCCACCTTGAAAAAGGATGCCATCCAATTTGTTCGGAAATGTGACAAGTGCCAACATTTCTCCCATGTCCAAAGGAAAACCCTCCCAAGAGTTAACTCCAGTATCTAGCCCTTGGCCTTTCAGCAAGTAGGGTGTGGACCTCGTTGGCCCCTTACCTAGGGGCAGAGGATATGTCCCCAGGGTTGTGCCGCCTAGGTATGAATGTCGAAGGAGGGACGAGAAGGCGGGAAACCAGGCAGGACCTTCTGCTCCACCGCCAAGGTATGAAGCCAATGCAAACTATATTTCAGATGGTCACCAGAGATCTTGTGACTCGGACGATGATGATGAGAACCTGCCATTCTCATAAGAGTTGAGGAACGCCCAGTGCCGAACCACTATGTAATGCCCAAGATACCAAAATATG